ACAACATTTACATTATATTGGGTGTTACAGGGAATCTAGAAGGGATTTAAAGTAGGAGGATGTGCATAAGTTTCATGCAAATACTGTGTCATGTTACACAAAGGATTTGAACATCCTTGGACTTTGATATCTGTGGGGAAACCATCCCCCGGGGATAGAGAGGGATGACTGTATATTAAAATAAGTATCCTGGCTTGGTTTAACACAAAAAGCAGAACCTGAGATCAGGGTTTAATGCAAGTAATTTGTTTTTGTTGTAGGCAACTGAGTTAGATAGAAATATAATAGGCAGTCAGGTAGGGCTAGGTCCTCCAAGAAGCCATTGCGGAAGATGGAATACCTTACAACTGTGGGAGAGACAGGCACCTCTGCTGTGGGCCAGATCTCAAGACAAAAGATGAAACAAATGTACCCACATACTTCCTAAGGATGAACATCAGGGGCTGATATTCTAAATAGGTCTCTATCACCTTGAGGAAGCCAGGAAGAGTCACTAACCTGACCCTCTACAGGAAAAGTCCCTGTTCTATATTCATGCCTGTTTGCTATGGTGCTTCCCTATTTGATCCCAATTTAATCAATTTTACCTGAGCAATTATGCTTGTAATCTTGTTGTTTGACCATAGTTTTGTCCCACCTCATGCCCACCTTGTGATTTCCCATGTTTCCCACCTTGGACCTGCCTCGTGTTGTGGATTTGCTCTATAAAAATCCCTAGAAAAGGCAGGTTCCTTTGCAACCCACTCTGGTCCCCCTTTGTCTCTTTCTCTGACAGAAGCTTTCTTTCCCACAGTAAATATATTCTTCTCTTAACTTCTATTGTTCTTAAAGTTCATTCTTCGATTTTAGAGAACATGAAGTCATACCAGATATCTAGCAGGGTGGGAGTTTCTTTTCCCTATATCATTTTGGGAAGACCCGCAGGAAACTGGAGTGGGTATGCTGGAAAGCATGTCATGGGAAAGGTAAACAATCACGGTGAGGGTTTGAGCTGGGTACCACTCTGGGAATGGGGCTTAATCCCATTGGATCCCCTCTTGGGACTGTATAGAGTTGCCATGAAATTGTCCCTGGGCTACCCACTGGCTCCCACCACTCACCAATCCCTTTCATCTCCAGAAATCAGTGTATTCCCATGGCGGTTTTCCTACAGGACAATGAGTAAGCAATATTCAAGGCAGCCCAGAGGAGGCGCTGTTGGGCTGTACCTCCACACCATAGCAAACAGGCATTAATGCGCGGGCATAAATAAATATTTAAATTAAAGGCTGGGCACAGTGGAGCATGCCTGTAATCCCTGCTACTTGGAGGTTGAGGCAGGAGATCACAGATTGGAGGCCAGGCTGGGCAATTTAGGGAGATCCTGTTTCAAAATGAAAGGAGGATGGATATGGTGGCAACGCCCATAATCCCAACACTCTGGGAGGTTGAGGCAGAAGGATTGAAAATTTGAGCCCAGCCTAGGAAACTAATTGACTTAGCAAGACTATGTCTCAAAATAAAAGACTGAAAAAAGGGTTAAGGATGTAATAGAGCTCAGCAGTAGAGAGCCCTGGAGTTTAATCCCCAGTATAAAATAAAGTATTAATCAAACTGGATCTAGGGACAAAAGTAAGGTTGTCCCTAATCATCTAGACCTCCTTCCTGGGGCAAGTTTTGTTGGCATTTTCCTGTGTGTCTTTTCAGAGGTATCTGTGTCCCTTGCACAGGCAAACAAATAATTCCCTTACTTTTATATTAGTACGTATTTGCAGTATATGAAGTTTACAATGATCTTAGGGTGTAGGAACATTGGTGACATACTGCACAAATCCTACTGGGTTGTGCTTTTTAAAATTCTGTGTTGGCATCTTGATGAAACTACATATGTACATGTTCAGAACTCTTTCTTCTTTGGAAGAGCTGCATAGTATTTCACTTGAGCTCGTACCACAGTCTACTTCCTCATCTCTGCACTGATGATACTTGCGTTTCTGTTTCTGGGCTTTAAAGGCAAGTTGATTGAGGTATGCCAGCAGTAAAGATCACTCTTTATGGGTTGTACATACAGCTCAGCAGTAAAGCTTGCCTAGATGTCGGAGACTCTGAGTTCAATCTCCAGCACAGGTGTGAAAATCACTTTTAACTCACTTTGAATTTTGGCAAATAAGACATGGAACGTTCCACCACAAAAAATTCCTTAGTGCATCCTGATTAATAAACTTTTTGCTCATCCTGAGCACAAGGCAACCATGAATCTATTTTCTGTGCTAATATTTTGCCTTTTCTGAAATATCACATAGGATGTAGGGTTTTTAACCTGCTCTTTCTCTCTCTCTCTTTCTTTTCTTTCTTTCTTTCTTTCTTTCTTTCTTTCTTTCTTTCTTTCTTTCTTTCTTTCTTTCTTTCTTTCTTTCTTTCTCTTTCTCTTTCTCTTTCTCTTTCTTTCTTCCTCCTTTTCTCCTCCTCCCCTTCTCCTTCATCTTCTTCCTGCTCCTGCCCCTAGTCCTCCTTCTCCCTTCCTCCTCCTTCATCCTCTTCTCTCTCTTTTTTCTTTTTTCAGTACTGGGAAAAGAACCCAGGGACCACAATTTTGAGACAGGGTCTCACTAAGTTGCCTGGGCTGACCCTGAACTTGGAACCCGCTGCCTCAGGCTCCTGAGTACCTGGGATTACAAGTGTGCCCCCACTGTACCCCCCTTGAACCTGGTTTCTTTCATCGAAGATAATGTGTTTGAGACTCAACAACATTGTGCTGTGTCAGTGGTTGATTCCTTTTATTACTGAGTGATAGTCCATGGTACAGAAACTTGATAGTTTATCCATTCACCAGTTGTAAGACATTGAGTTGCTTCCAGTTTGGGGCAATTATGAAACAATATGCTGTTACTGTGTACTGGCTTTTGTGTGGACATGAACTTTTATCTCTCTTGGGTAAACTCTTAGGATTGGGATTATCAAGCCTATGTAAGTGAATGTATTACTTCACAAGCAATTGCCAAACAGTTTCTAAAGTGACTCTACCACTGTTTTCCTACCTGCAATACATGAATGCTTATCAACAATTAATATTGCCAGTTGTCTATGTGTTGGCTTTTCTGAGAGTTATACATAGTTTTTGTCTACTCCAAACACTGCTATAATAAGTATCCTTGTAACATATCCTTTATTATTGGGGTGAGTATATTGGTAAGATACATTTTTGGAACTAGAATTGATGGGCTAAAGAGTTTGAAAGATTGAGTTGGCCCTGAACTCCTGGCTTCGAGTGTCTACCTGCCTCAGCCTCCTGAATAACTAGGACTATAGGCATACACCAACACATCTGAGATTATGTCTGAGATGCATGTTTTTAAAGAAAAACGTACTTTAGACAATGGCCACATGAATCTCTACTTCATAAGGTTTTTGATGGGTACTTTTGATGAATGTGAAGCTTTAGAGTGGGATCCACCATACATAGCAGTGGATGTTAATTATTGCCTGATCACTGCTGCTGATCAATCCTACCATTCTTTGCCTCTCTGCGGTCCTTGTCAGTGCATCCAGTAGTGCTGCTCTCTGAAGAGCTCAAACAGTCCACCTATGGAATCCAATTAACCCGCATAAATCTGAGAAGCTGACGAGGCATTCAGGCAGTACAGTTTCCCAGAAAAGGGAAGCTTGCCTGGATGTGCTACAGGATAGATATGTGTCACACAGGGTCAAAGAAATCAATTTAGCTTGGAAGGAGAATTGATTCCTCCAGATTAGGATGCCTTTCATATTGTTTTTGGACGGCTACCCACTTTGAGAAATATCTCAGGAGCCAGACACATATTCCTAAAACAAAAATTTCAAAAAACAATGTTCTGTGTTTTCTCTTCATTACACTGTATTTCATTGAAAATGTGCTCACTGGAATCCACTGATATAAATAGTCCTGCTATTGGACTGGCCAGTATTTTAAAGAGCACAGTTCTAGAATTTGGGTCAAGATCCCTCTTATTTAACCATACTGTTCAATTTTCCTGTCAATACAACTTCACACTCAGTTTGGGCACATTATTCCTATGCTTTTTTTGGAGGGAGGGACGTTGTTTTTGCGACAGGGTCTTACCGGTAGAATGCAGACCAAGCTGGTCTTGAACTGCCTATGTAGACCAGGCTGCTTTAGGACTAGCAGTCTTCCTGCCTCAGCCTTCCAAGTGCTGGAATTACAGGTGTGCACCACCACACCAGGAGCCAAGTCCCTTTTTCTTAGTTTCCTTGGGATGCTAGAGCTTTTTTCTTCATCAGTTAGTTCCAAAAATAGCTCTTGGACTCCATATGTGCACTGCCTAGTATTAAATGCTAGTGGAAGAGAGAGGGCTTTGAAGAGAAAGCTACGGGTTCAGACACCACCTCCATTATTTGTGGGTGATTTTGTGAAGACTTCAGCTATGGGAGACTCAGTTTCTGCCTCTGTAAAAAGGGTGTAATCATAGGGCGATCATTGAGCTAAGGCGCGTAAAGCATTTGGTACAGGGGCAGGCTCATAGTAGGTGCTTAGGTAAAGGTGATTCTCCATTCTAACGCCATCAGCACCAGCCTGGGAACTGGACAAAAATACAGATCCTCTGTCCTCTTCTCAGGTTTACTGAACCAGAAACTGCAAGGGTGGGACCCAGTGATCAATTTTATGAAGACTTTCAGCAACCTATTTTAACAAGGTATTGATGCCTGCTCTAGTTTGAAATTCACAGGCTGAACGCTTCTGAAGCTGCAGAAACGAGCAGCCGCAGCTGGCAGATGATGAAAGGCTCATCAGGCTACCATTGAGCCCCAAGGTGCCACCTGCTCGCAGACTAAAAAATAGTGTTTAGCTTTCTCCTCCCTCCCACTTCAGTAGGTCCCGCCTATCCTCCTTGCTGATTGGTGACCTCTCCGTGACTTATCACTATCCACCCAACCGCAGAAAGCAAAAATTGAGAGAGGCGGGATCGAGCACAATGAGAGCTGTGGGCCCATTGGCTCTAGACCATTCCGCGGAGCGGCGCGGACTGCGCGTGCGTGCAGCTAAGGTGCGCCCCGGGCGGCCGTTAAAAATGGCGACTGTCGCTGAGTTAAAGGCTGGTGAGTGGAAGCGGGGTGGAAAGCGTTGATTTTTCTGTGTGTAAAACATGGGACCCAAGAGGAAACAACGAGCACAGCGTCGGCTGTTGCAGGGCTCCTTCTGCCGTATCAGGGCCTGCGGGCGCGTCCGGCAGGTGCCGCAGCCGCTGCGCAGAGCCTGTGGGAGGCGGTGGTTGTCCAGGGGCCGTTTCGTTTTGATACCGAGGAGCTGAGCCAGCGCCTTCCCGCTGAGCTGCCCGTTCGGTCCGCCCTTTATCTGTGACTTTGAGGCAGGGTCTCGCTAAGTTGTCCGGGCTGGGCTAGAATTTAACCCTCCCGCCTCAGCCTCCCAGAGCCCTGCGGTGGCAGACGCGGCCGCCCCGCCAGGTCCGGCCGGTTCCCGCGAGGCGAGGACGGCGCTGGTGCCGGCACAGGTCCGCAGCCGCGGTTGGCGTCAGGCACAGGCCTGAGCCATTGGCTGACGGGTGTGCTGGGCCCTTACAGCGGCTTCTGAAGGAGCTTAGGTCCTGCTTGTCCGTCGGGAGAAACCAGTCGTGGCACACGTACTCACGGGGCTGAGGCAGGAGGATAGCCTCGAGTTCGAGGTCAACCCGGGCAACTTAATTTGTTCAAGGCCAGCTAGGACTACCCAGCAAGACCCTGTCTCAGACCCGCCCGCATAAAGATCCTGCCATTCTGAAGACTTAACTTGTGATTGTCTTTAAAAAAAAAACACAAACCACCAAGCACTTGATTTACAATGGGTTATTTCATTAGGGTTGTGGACATCACTGGTTTTTGTACTAAAAACATTGCATGCTCCTTTCTCTTATGGAGTGTAGTTTGTTTATCTCTCTGGAGCAGAGGTGGTTAGCCACACTCAAAGCCATCTGCAATGACAAACACCCTTGAAAATATGATAGACTGTGGAGTGAGCTCAGGTCCTGGTAAGCTGACTATATTCTGTTCCCCCTTTTATTCCTCACCAGAGAATATGTAGCAGATTATAATCCCTGACAGTGACGAGGCCGTACGGCAGTGGTGGCCAACCTCGGTACAGGTGTTGCACTCGGCTGTTGGTTATCACTGAAAGCTCAGAAGGGTCTCCATCACTGCTGTATGCAATAAGCTTAAACTTGTTCAGCTCTACTAAGAATAAATCAATGTGACTTGGAAAGTTTATTGTTTTTATTTTTTTCTTACAAAAATGATTTGTAATAATGTCATTGTTCAATTTGTCATTGTTTAGATTGAGAACTACATTTGTGTCACTTACCTTTTAGATGTTTTTCTTCAGAACATGCCCAGGAATGACAAAATTTATTGTATCACTGAAGCACTAGTATTTTCTGTTTAACAGTTTTAAAGGACACCTTGGAAAAGAAGGGGGTGCTAGGACATTTAAAAGCAAGGATCCGAGCTGAAGTATTCAATGCCCTGGATGACGATCGTGAACCTCGACCATCACTGTCTCATGAAAACCTTTTAATTAATGAATTAATTCGGGAATATTTAGAATTCAACAAATATAAGTACACATCATCGGTCCTCATAGCAGGTAAGTGATCATTGTTTATCACCTGAGACAAAATCTGCTTCCTCCTCCCCCCAGCTCACATTGTAAGTGTGTAGCTTAAAAATTAATTTTCATTACCAAATGATGTTGTCTGTGTGACTGAAATATAAAATTACACAGGTTCTTTTCATAGCTTGAACAAGTTCTCATGAGGCTTATTTTACTGTTGGGAAAATAATAGCTAGAACTTTCCCTGACAGATAGTTAATATTAAGCATACATGTTAACTTCATAAAGACTGTTGATTTTTATTGGTCCTAAGGATCTTCGGTGTCTGTACTTCTACTTTCCTGTGTGATAGGTGACTGTATGGTACTACTCACACTCAGAAAATAAGCACTGTTTGAAAATATCAACTAGTTGTCTTGGAGTTGGGCTTCCCTAGAATGAAATATAATGACAATAGTCATTTCGTATTAAATATTCAGCTTTTAAAAAAGACTGAGGCCGGGCTTGGTGGCGCACGCCTGTAATCCCAGCACTCGGGAGGCTGAGGCAGGAGGATCGTTGCAAGTTCGAGAACACCCTGGGCTACAAAGTGAGTTCAAGACCAGCCTGAACTGCATAGTGAGACCCTATCTCAAAAAGACCAAAAAAAAAAAAAAAAAAAAAGACTGAGGTACAGTTCACATATAATAAAATTTATTGTTTTTGGTATACAATTGTATGGATTTTGTCAGTGGCATCCAGTTGTATAACATCACAGTCACACTCATGATAAAGAACATTTCTGTCACCTCAAAAGATTCTCTAACATTTTGGTCAATTTCTTCACCTCCCCCACTTGTAGCACATTACTGATGTACTGTTCTTCTGTTCCCCTTTTCCTTTTCCAGAATGTCATGTACATGGAACCATGCGGTGTGCATCCCCTTTGGTCTGCTTTTACTTAGCATGATGCACCTGAAATTCAGTGAGATTTGTTCTTTCTTCTGTGAATAGCATTATTTGTGGGAAAATAGTATGACTGTGCCAGTTTCTTTACTATCAATTGATAGGCATTTGAATATTTTCTAGATTTTAGCAATTATGAATTAAGTCATGAAAATATTTTTTGTTTTGGTTTGAGTCTTTTGAGACAGGGTCTCGCTTTAAAGTTCAGGCTGACCTCGAACTCATTATGTAGCCCGGGTTGGCCTCAAATTCATGCCTATCCTCCTGCCTCAGCCTCTTAAGTACTGGGATTGCATGCTGCACCACCATGCCCAGCCACTGTATGTATTTATATACACGTTTTTTCTTTTGTTTGTCTTCTTGTTCTTTTTTTTTTTTTTCTGGTATTAGGAATTGAACTCAGAGCCTTCACACTGAGCCCTTCTTATTTGCCCTTATTTTTTAAGACAGGTTATCATTGAATGGCCCAGGCTGGCTTCAAACTCATAATTCTCTTGCTGCGGCCTTCTGAGTAGCTGAGACTATAGGTGTGAACCTGGTACATACAAATTTTTGTGTGTACATGTGTAAATAGCTAATAGTGGGACTGCCAGGTTGGTGTATGCTTACATTTATTGGAAAGCTGCCCAGCTGTTTTCTAAAGTGGCTGTACCGTTTTGCTTTCCCACTGATGTATGAGAGTTCTGGTTCCACACATTCTTGACAGCATTTCACATTGAGTTTAAGTTTATTTTTAGAGTTACTGCCACTGAATGGATATACTTGCTTAAAAATTACTAGTACTGTTTTAATTCATAGCTTTTCAGAAAACAAACTGAAGTCCAGTATTGTAGTTTAGATGCAGAAACAGTATTTTTATAGCCAAAACTTGGGGGGTTTAAAAGGTGAGTTTATGAGCCAGAAGTGGCCACATATGTCTGCCATCTGAGCTGCTCTGAGGCTGACGCAGAAGGATCGTGAATTCAAGGATGGCCTGGGCAATGTAGTGAGACCTCGTCTCAAGAAACAGAGAAGGGTAAATTTATGTTAAACTATATTGAACCATGTCATGCATTTATCAAAATGGATTTTTCGAAGTCATAAAGTCACATGCAGCTGGATCTGGCTGGGTATATACTGTCATCATTTTTTGAAAATCTGAAAAATGTGTATAACTGGTAAGTATGGTTGTTATCACAGTTATATTTGCTTTTTAGATTAATAGACTCAGTGTTCTCATGAATTTTTTCCCCCCAGAATCTGGTCAACCTGTAGTTCCACTGGACAGACAGTTTCTCATCCGTGAACTAAATGCCTTTGAAGAATCAAAGGATAGCACAATGTAAGAAGTTTTTTAAAATAGGTTTTCAGTTGTTGAATTGGAGTCATAATTGCATAGTGCAGTTATGTTTCATTCTAATCATCATTCATCAGGTACTTATTCAGATCCAGTGTGTGTCAAGCTTTGTACTAGAACAGGTCAGACAGGGTCTCTGCTGGAGCTAAAATTCCTGTGGCTTCAGAGAACTAACCTCCTCTGCTTCTTTCTGAGGTAACTGCTTTTGGCTTCTTGATCCATTTATTTTATCTTCTAAGGCATTGCGTTATTGTTGTGTTCTTTTTCATACTTGACTCTTCCTCCTTACTGCTTTCTTCACTTCAGCTTACAAGTGAACTTAGCTATCCTAAAAAGCCTATCAACTCCCAACTCCATGCTACTTCTTATTGGGTTTTTTTGTTTGTTTTGTTTTGTTTTATTGCAAATATACTGAGTCCATTCTCCACTTTCATTTTGCTACCCTGTCTTTTGCCCTTTCTGCATCTTAAATTCTCCCCTGGCCATTTATACCAAAACTATTCAGGGAAAGAAAGGGTGCTCACTTTCTGGTAGTTTGTTAGTACTTTTCCTACATCAGTGTTTCTTGAACTTTTCCAGAGGTACCTAAAGAATGCACGGAAGAAAACAAAGCACAACAACAACAAAAACAAAAACATCCTAGGTAGACTGAGTATGGAGCTCAAAGCAATCTTCTCTAGTAAGACATTTCTTTAAAGGCTTTCTAAAGTTGATTGAATATTTCATTCTCCTTCATGGCATAACTGTGTTTGTGTTACCATAGAATATTTTAAGTTACATGCCACTTAAATTTACCTCTCCTGCAAGTCTTTGTGCAGCCTAAGTCTGTGCATTGTGCCATGCACCTCGTACTGACAGTGGGTATGTGTGCGCTTCCAAAGTGAGAAGCTCAGTTTTACCTGAATTTCTGCAACATTTTATAATGTTGATGCCTCTTCCTTAGAATGGGTTTTGCCATTCATTTATGACTCTTTGCTGTCTTTATTTCCCTGTCTCTATTTCCATTCCTTTACCCCAATGGTGCTTGCCATCTCTTTGTTGACTCTTTTAGGGTTCCTTTAAATTGTGGAAACTCCCACTGTCCTCCACTTTTGTTTCTCCTTGTCCCTACCTCCTTTTCTAAGTACTTTTGAATCTTTAATGGTGCCTGCCTGCTACTGCTTAAATCTGGCCAGTCTTCCAGGTTGTGAGTCCACATTTCTGCTGCTGACTCAGTGTGGCCAGAAACCAAAGGTGTTACTTTCATTTCCTTCTCTACCCCGCTAAGTTCCTCATATAGCCGCTCAGATTTTAAACGTAGAGTTCACATATATTTTTGGTTCATTCCCCTTTTTCTACTAACCCCTTTTAAAATCCCATTGATTCTGCCTCTATGCTGTCTCCTAGCCGTTCTCACTGCCCTGTGTTGTGCTCTTTAGCCTTCTGACTCGTTTATCTCCAGCCACCTTCTTTTTCCAGTTATGTTTTATCCTGCCAACTTGTCTAAGATAGTCACTGCATTGTTTAAAAACACAGTAAACATTTTCATCTTTATGGAGATACCTTGCGGCATCATGCCCTTTTGCTTTTGCACACACTATTCCCTGGCCAAGAATATTTTCTTCTTCCTCTTAACTCCTGTGGGATCATGTTTCATCTTACAGATCTTGCTCAGATATTAACTGTTTTGTGATAGTTTTTTCTTCCTCTTTCAGTTAAGTTTCTCTATTTCTTCAAAATTTGATTGATACTTTTGTTACTCATGTATTTCATTCTTTCTTATAGTTAACTCTCTTCTTGTTCTTCCACTGGGAAGGAATCTTTAAGAGAAGAGACTGAAATGTTTTCTGTCTGTCATAGTATCTCACAGGAATATATATATTCCATAAAATGCTTATTTCATTGAACCAAGAAAATTTGTCATAAAATCAGTGATCTCAATAAAGAAAAAAGAAAACATGTCTTTTTTTTTTTTAAGACAGGGTCTTGTTATATAATTCAGGCTGACGTAGAACCTGTTATATAGCCCCAGCTAGCCTCAAACTTGTGATTTTCCTGCCACAGCCTCTTGAGTGCTGGGATTATAGGCATGTACCACCATGCCCAGCTAAGAAAATATTTCTTAATTTGGTCCCATTGATTTATAGTTTCTTTTCTTTTTAAAAATATTTTCTTTAAAATCTTCATGTTAATATTAAATGACTGCAAAAGTCTGTAATAGCAATATTAATCTGACGAATGAGGAAGACAGTTGCCATTATGCTACATTTTAAATCTAGAATTTGATCTGAATAAGTATACTTTGGGGTTAATGCACTAGTGAAACATTGTTATAGTACTAGATATTTACCTAGAAAAGTAACTCTTTTGAAATTGCTTTTTTGGTGGGGAGAGGTAGTAGGACTTTCACGCTGAACTACTACCCAGCCATTTGTTTACTTACTCATTCATTCCTTCATAGATGGATTTTGGCTAAGTCACTAAATTGTTAGGTTCAAACTTGCAGTTCTCCTGCTTCAGCCTCCCAGAGTACAGGTATTCCAGGCATGTGCCACCACTCCCAGCTTCTCTATACAGTCAAGGCACATCAATATGTACTTTCTTCTATATATATGAGGGATTGTGTTTCTACAACTTACTTTTCATGCCAACATATATAAATGTTAATCTTCTTAAGATGATGGATTATTTCAGACATAGAGGTAGAGTGATTAACAAACATCTGAATTCTTTCCTCTCATATTTGGAATGTTGTACTTTGTCTTTGAGATTTTTAACTACATAATACTAGGGATATCTTTGAAGGCCAACTCTCCCATTCCCATTCCTCCTGGCATAACCATGTTTTCTGTTTTTGTTTTAAATAGTCTGTCCTGGTCTGTGTACTGTAATTGATTTTTACATTATTTTATTAATAAAGATTTAGGTTGTTTCTAGTGTTTTGCTATTACACTTAAAAATATTTGAGTACTTACTATGTGTCAGGCACTGTAGTAGACACTGGATATAAGACAGTTGAAGGTTGTTTTCTGCAGTTGATCTAGGAATCAACTGTTCCCTGAGTGTGATCCATGGAAATACTGTACTTGTTCAGTGAGATGTTTACCACCAAAAGAATTTCAAAAAGAAAAGCTTGTCTGTACCACATTTCTCTTGGAGATTCATAATGTCAAGCAGTTTCTTTGAGATTCATAATCTCAAAGCAGTTTCTCTGAGAAATCCTGCAGTAAAATTCAAGGTTTCCAAACTTACTTGACAGAAGAATCCTTCTTTGCAGTATTCATATCCTAGCTATGTAATGTTCATGTAGATGTTTATGGGTACAGTTAATCACTGTATTTAGATATTTAAGTGTTAAAAAATGAATAACACTTTAAAAAGCATAGATTTTGACACTTTCAGTAAAATATGTAAGTACTGTAGTTGAGAACACTGGGAAAAATAACTTGGAGGAATCTGTGACTTGGGATGAGCTGTGAGGTAAAGCCCTATTCAAATGGAAGGCATCAGTTTGCATTTAGCAGTTGGAGGGAATGAACATCTGTCATGTACTTACTGGCTTCTTGGTGGATTTGAGATATTTGCTGCAGGTGGGAGTATTAAACGTAAGTGGATGACAGCTTCTTTTCCATAAAGTTGGGGAACTTCAATCCCTTGTTTCTCAGATTTCAGTGATTTATATTCACATGTCGCTGTATCCGTCTGCTGCTTGTCTTATTAGTACAGTCGTATTAGTACAGTTCTACAGTGCTCAACCAAAAACACTTGAGGCCAGATGTGTCTTGAAAGTCCAGGTTTCAGATTTTAAAAAGTAATACGGTACCTATAACAAATACGAAGTATACACTAGGGAGTCTAAAGTGGCACTCCAGTCACATTTATATTTTTCAAAACAATGTGAGAATTTTCCTTTAATAGCTTTATGTTGGGTCACACTATGCCACCACACCAGCTATATGAAGAAAATTCTAGTTTTTAGAATTGCAGGTAAGGTATTGTGAAGCTGTATTTTCTTTTTTTGTTGTTGTTTTTTGAGACGGGTCTCATTATATAATTCCTGCTGGCCTTGAACTCGCTGTGTAGCCCAGGCTGGCCGTGAACTTGCACTCATCCTCCTGCCTCAGCCTCTCAAGTGCTGGGATTATAGGCATGCACCACCATGCTGAAGTAGGCTGTATTTTTCTGTAAATGACCTTTAAAAAAAAAACTTAAAAAAAAAAACCCTTAATGTCCTTTAAGTTTAGGTTGAATATATTGATTATATATTTTCTAATTAAAATATGTAACTCTTAAACATTTTAAAACTTAAGTAGATTTTGTGGTATGTTAAAAATAAAAATTTAGCAATTATTTTGAAACAATTGACATTGTAAAAAGGTTGACTTAAAGCAAACAAAAATTTATATTCCTAGGTGATGCGTTCCTAAGAATTGAGGCATCATATTAGAAAAATTTACTTTCCTGCTTTCCTTTGCTGCCTAACAGATTACCCCAGAATTTGGTGGCTTAAAACGACAAATCAGCCAGGCGTGATGGTACACGCCTGTAATCCCAGCACTCAGGAGGCTGAGGCAAGAGGATTGTTGTGAGTTTGAGACCAGCCTGGCTTACAAAGTGAGCTCAAGGCCAGCCTGGACTACATATTGAGGCCCTGTCTCAAAAAGACAAAAAGAAAAAAAGAAAGAAAAAGAAAAACATTACTGTCTGTGGGATACCTGGAAGATGGGCTCCACTGGGTGCGTCTAGCCTGGGACCTCATGGGGTGTAGTTCCACACCCACCGCCTTCTCATGTTGCAGAGGAGGCCTCAGCACCTCGCCACAGGTGCCTCTCCATGGGACTGGTGAAGGACCTCAGGCTTCTGCCGTCCTTCAGAGACAGTGATCCAAGAGAGAATGCAAAGAAGCTTTGCAAATATTATCCCTCTTGTGTAGCTGTCATTTATATGCTGTGTAATATATGCCAAGTACAGCTCTAAATACGACATTTATTAACTTATTTACTGTCTAAAAGACTTGTAGCATAGGGACTGTGCTTTATAGAGGAGGGAACATTTACTATGAGGTTGGTAAGGTTAAGAATCTTGTCCAAGACTCTAGCTGGCAGGTGGCAAAGCCAGGACTTGAACCTAGGCAGTGTAGTTTCTAGGACATGAGCACATCTCTGGGTAACAGTTTATTCAACAGGTGTTTACTGGATGAATACCTGCTGCACATCAGATAGTAATAGGCACTGGGAAATACTATCCTGAGTTTGGAGTTTAAAAGCTGAATTCCTATAAATTGATTGCAAATGTATTTCGGTTTAAATGAATTTTAAGTTAACATATTTTCTCTGTGGTTTCTTTGTGTGTTTGTTTGTTTCTGTTATACTGGGGATTAAACCCAGGGCTTTCACTGAGGTACATCCCCAGCCCTTTTAAAAAATTTTTGAGACATGGTTGCTAATTTACTAAGTTGCCCAGGTTGGGGGTCAAACTTTTGATCCTCCTAACTCAGCTTCTCAGAGTGCTGGGATTATCGATATGTGCCACCATGTAAATAGTACGTTTAAATTTAAGACCATGAACAATTTGCAGTTTGGATAATCTAACATCTTTTTAAAGTCTAGTGAATTACTTGCTATTTTGGTATCAGAGCTTACCTTTTAAAGAATAAATGTTTTAAGCTATTATTTAATGCAAAATTAATTGATTTTTTGTTTGTTTACTTTCTCCCTGCCTTAGGCCTCTTTTATATGGAATTTTAGCTCACTTCTTGCATGGCAACAAGGATGGCATTCAAAACACATTCCTGAAAGAATCTTCACTTCAGCCTCCAAACCCAAATCTTGGCAGACAGCCTAATGGAAGAAATCAAGCAGGTATGAGTTTTCTGAGATTCTTCATTTAGCTTCAGCAAGCATATTTTTTTCCTATACATTTTTATCTTTGGAGGAGCTTTTCCTGAGCATTTGAGTCACAGTTTAACTCTGCCATAACTAGTATAGCAAGCCTGTGTTAACCTCTAAAAATAGTGCTCTTTGGAAAGAAACTCCTAAAAGAAGCAGATGAATGATTAGAAAAAATTCTTAGGTATAATTTCTATATAAACCTACTGAAAAACCTAATTTTCACATAAATTTATAGTCATAATCCTTAACATTTTATATATAGTTTGTAATGACATGATCATTTTTTCCAAAGGCTGAGAAAAGACAAGATTGCTGAATACAATGGGTATATGTGTCCTTTGCATTTTCAGGGTACTTTTTATGATGGTATTCACAAATAATAGACTCTTAGGACAATGGCCCATACTTTGTTTTCAGAAAGCTCACTTTTAAAATGAGATTTGGTTGTCTTGATCACATCAGTGATAGGGTCTCACTTTGAGCACTTGGTTTGAGTGGATTATAGCACAGTATTTCGACCATGGGAGACACCTATCTCTTCTACCAAGGATGTTTATAGTGGAGCTCAGGTGTCTAATTATCAGAACAAAAGTACTTTTTTGTGTGTGTGTGTGGTAGTGGAGATTGAACCCATGTATGCTAGGCAAGTGTGCTGCCACTGGACTACACCTCTAGCCCCACAGTAATAACCCTTAAATGTTGAAATAAATTTTTTGGAACCAAAATGTATATTGTCTTTTGTAGCTTTTCTAAGCTGCCCCGACTGATATTTGACTGTATTAGATGTTTGGTGTCTCTTAAGATCTGAAAATGAAGTATTTATCAATAGGATAAGCTCTCTTTTGAAGATTATTTCTCTGTTCAGTAGGAATTATCCTGTGTTCTGAGCTGGATGGAACATTGGAAAAGAAATTTTTCCAACTTATTTACAGTTGAGACAACCAAGACTAAGAGATTAGTGACTCGTCGCAGGCCCATAGCAGATAGTAATTAACAGTCAGCACATCTAGTTGCCATTCCTGTGAACTTCTCCTTTTAAGATTATGGAGAACTCTTCCAGGTTCTCTTTTCAGGAATTTGTAAGGAACAGAGCTTTGTGCCCTGTATTTGTCAAAAAAAATAAAATAAAACAGTAATTGTTCAAGTACTGGAAGAAATCTCAAAAAATTTAATATAAAGCTCCTTTTAACCTCTTCCCAACTCGCCTCTCCCTGACCCTACAATTCCCCTTCCTTCCATGGAAAATACCCATGTTGGCTTCCTGGGGGTATCGCTAAGAACTAATTTCTGTGTATTGAAGTATATGTGCACCATTACTTTGTGTATTCCTGCAATTTGCATTATTAACTTGCCAGTGTGTGTGGATCCTTATGTAGTGTTCCGTGGTGTTGCTGCAGTCACTTTTTACAGATGTACTGCTTTTATTCTTTGCTTTTATAGTATTAAAATGTGACTGTGTTTTTATCTACACACAAGAGTATTTCTTGTGTTTGGATGCCCAAAGTAGAACTGCTGTTTCAGAGCAAATGTAGATTTAAAAATAGAGTACATATTATTTAATTCCCCTCCAAAAAGACTTTAGCAGTTTTTATACCAAAAATATATGGCAGTATTCAGTTGTCACCAATAGTGACACATTAATTAACATTTATTAACTCAGCAACCCCAAGACATTGATTTTAAGTGCACAAGGAAAAATAACTTTTGGTATCTAAGCTTTTTATAATCAACCCCCTTAGTACTTATGTTAATAACTATTAAAAAACTTGGAAGTAATAATATTTCTTATCCAAATTCTGTTCTGAGAGTAGATATTAAAAGGTTTTTATATTAAAAAAACAAATTCTGTTCTAAGCTACTTATAATCTTAAACCACTGCTAGGGAAGGGATGGAAGAAGAAAGATGGAGGGAGGAAAGGACACAGAGATGAAGATACCCTTACGTATAAAGTGCCAGAGGCATGCAAGAGAGGACTTCACATCAGTCAAGCAGCTTTGGGTTCTGTGGAAAGCTCAGACATGAGGGTGACGGCTGAACTAGTGGGATAAGAACAATAATTTTCTTGATCATCAAAAATTTTTCTTGGTATAATAGTTTGGTGACTCTGGGCAACGACTTGAGAAGAATTATCACCAAATTTTTGCATCGTTTTAGGAATACAGATAAGTGTTGCACTTACTCTCTCTGGCTTACTATCTGAAGCTGCATAACTCTTATTTAATAGCACTGAAAAGGCTGTGAATGTAATAAAATGATTAGGCCATAGCACCTTCTCTACATAAGCCTATCCAGTTGCAACATATGACACTACAATGGTATATGTAAAATGAAGCATGCTTTTATTTGAAAATAAGTCTGAAGCATGCCAAGATGAAAACACTTCTGTCATGAAACCTTTCAAAGTGCTGATGTAAAAACGAAAGTGCTTTAGAGGTACATTCACCTTAAAAATAACAGCCAGTTCATTAATCCTGCTACTATAGCATTTGTTATCTTGGAGAAGAAGTTTTTTCTCTACATGTACCAACTCCACATAAAGAGTGTAAATACACATTGCAGACATGTACAGAAAAAGGGGTGAGGGGTAAAGAGATGGATGGAGAGGGGAGGAAGGGGAAGAGAATGAAGAAAAGGAGTTAAGATGTATTATGTATATGTACCAGTGCCTCATAAGGAATGTAAACATTATGTGCTATAAGCATATACTAATAACAGATAAATAAAAGTTTTAAGATACTCAAGAGGGGAAAAAAGAGATGAGATTTTTATCATAGAAAAGACCTTTATCAGCTCAACTTTATTGCACATCTATGAAATACAAAAATAATAGACTTCTGTTGAAGGCAATGGGCACACCTGTAACCCCAGCAATTTGGGAGGCTGAGGCAGGAGGATTGCAGGTTGGAGCCCAGCCTGTGCATTTGGGGCAGGGAATGTAGTTCAGTAGTAGAGCACCCCTGGGTTTGATCTCCAGTAACACACACACACACACACACACACACACACACACACACACACACAAGCCTTCAGCTTTTAAACTAACACTTTTCTAAAAGACTTAAAATCATTGTGTTCTAAGGAAATTGTTAATTTTGTAGCAAAGTTGCCAAAACTGATGGGAGAGAGATTTTTGTCAGTTATCCAAATCTAGAAAGTGATCTTAATCTTGGGGCTGATGAGCTGCTGAGGATTTAGAACCCTGGGAGACATCACATTGTCTCAGGGATTAGAAAATTTAGTGTGAAAATTGGACTTTTCTAATAACTTATCTAAATTTGTATTCTCTGCCCCCTGTTTCAAAATTGTCACAAAAAAGGTTTTCTCCCCTTGTAAAAGTGTTTGGAGGCGCAGGACCTTACATAGTTTGAAGAATCTAGTTATTGCTTGCATTTCATATTGTCTCTGGATATTGTCTCTGGATTCCTTTCATCTAGAGCAACTCTATTCGCTAATCTTTTACCTCTGTGACAAGACACTGAGCAGAAGCAACCAGCCATCGTTGCTGTTGTCAAAGTGCTGTCGGTGGTTGCTGGCTCTGGGCTCCCCTGACCTCTTAATGGAGCTTTTGTCTTGTTTTTTGGCTTTTAAAAGCATTGCCCACAACTTCCCCAGATAGTTTTAACAATTTTGGTAGGAAGATGTGAACGACCTGATTTTTTTTTTCTTGCCACAAGAGGGTGCTGCTAGGAGGATTTGAAGGCTTTGTTTTTCAGTAGTCCCTCAGCATGCAGAGTGAACCCCATGTTCTTCTTTGTGAGTCCCATTCCTGACACACAGGAAAGGCTTGTAACTCAGCACACAGGTGTACTGCAGGTTGCACTCTTTTCACTTAAAAAACAAGTGAAATACTGCTGAATAATTAGAGTGAGTACTAAATATTTCTGATTTTCTTAGGGTATTTAAGAATTTTTTTTTTTCATTGCCTTAAACCACCTACAGAACTCATAAAATATCCTAAAATATAGCTAGGTGCATCTACCTAGCTGCCTGTATTGACTTGGTTGTATTGTTTCTGTTCATTCCAGATGGTCACCTGGGAAAGGAAAAGGGGACAAGCACCAGTACTGAAGAGCTTCATGTTTCCCAAACAGTGAAGAGATGACACGTCCATGAGGGGCATCTTTCATCTTAACATTATGTGTATTGAATACCTTATTTATTATCTCAATGTTAGCAATATGCACTATTATTTCTATTTTGTAGAAATTTGCATTTCTGCAAAACACTTAGACCCCCATGTTTAACTGCATTTGTGAATAAAAGCTGTCATCTGCCTTATTGGATGTGACTGAAAAGAAAATACATTGTTTTAGGAACTATTTTAAAGATCTTTAAGTTTCAATAATCTGTACATTCTTCAAAAAAAGATTTTTATCCATATGTTCTGTTCTTTGACATGGCATATTAGTTAAATTTTCTTCAACTGGCATTGTGTGGATTTGTAGGAAAATTCATTCATGTTTTAAAAAGACATATAAAAGAACATTATAGCCAGGAAAACCTTAATTCCTGTAAAGTTTGATTTATTTTAAAAGTAGCTATTTTCATTTAACCCTTCATAATTAGGCTGAAATAGCTGAATTACTACCTAAAGTTGAACTTTTAAACTAGGTAACAATGTTCTTTTTCTTTCCTTAGACCATTTTGGCTTCTACTGGAACATTTAATTAAAAGGTAGAGGGGGAAATCATTCTTTTAATTTTGCTGTGAGTAAAACAAAGAGTTTATTCTATAAAGAATGTGAAACATGCATGAAGAGACAGGCCTGGGGAGGAGCGCGAGAGAGTAACTTCAAATAGCTGGCGTTGTTCAGCGCCCCTTTGGCCTCCATTGTGCAATAACTGATGCACCCTAGGCAGCCGGCCCCTTCTTCCTGGGGCTCTGAAAGGCTGATTGAACACCAGTTTTCATTCTTGGGATGGAAACACTGTACAAGCTTTTCCAGTACTGTCTTTGAATGCTTGTGATACTTATTAGGGGCGTTTTCTAAGGTAGAGCCGACAGATGCGCTTCACTGGAAACAGCTGCTGCAGTATCAACAGCGCTGATTGGCGAGAGCCACAGGGCACTGAGAGTGCCAGGTCGTGCGGCCAGGGAGCCGGCAGTGTGGAGCGAGGTGCCTTCCACAGGAAATGCAGAGCTGTCTGCAGGGTGCTGGGACTGGGCTGACTGCGAAAGTTAGGGGAACTTTCAATGCTAGTCAGTGTTACTCCTTACAGATGTAAGAATTTTTATCTAAATGTGGAAAAATATTGCTATTATTTTTTGTGATGCTAGGGGTTGAACCATAAGCCTTGAGCATGCTAGGTGGGTATTCTACCACTGAGCTACACTCCCAGCTCCAAAAAAATATTAATGATACCACTTTAAAATACATAAGCCAAAAGATTTTTGCGAAGCCCATGTACATTTTATTTATAGATGCAGTTTTTTGAGTGCCCATTTTTAAATCTCCAATATCTGATTACAGTTATGAATTGCATTGTATTGTATGTGGGAATCTCAATATCTGAATTTCCCCAAGGGACTTGCAAGGATGTTGACAGTGGACACTAAGTTTACCTCAGGAATCGCAATCATGTAAATGCTGGAATTTATAATGATGGATACTGATACAAAATCATCACCGTAAAAGCTAGAATCATCACATGTAGTCCATGGTGCTTTTGTATACATGATTCTGTTAAATTGTTTGTGCCTAGAACAGCTTTTATACTTTCAATGTATCACTTAATAAAAACTTATTAAGCAACTTACCTTTTTGCAAAGGTTGTTTGTGTTACTGTTCCAACATTAAGAATCAGAAGATTGGAGGTGGATCCCTAGGCCTTTTGGTTGGGGTCCTCAGAAAGCTCACTGTTGGAATAAGAGTTGGTATATGTGTATTTGGCCTCAGTCGTGTCACCTTGGGACGGTTACTCTTCTTAGGCTGGCAATGGTGGGGTCTCCTGTGATCATTCTCTGGGGGAATGGTATCATAATCTAGGTTTTAAAAAGCAAGTTGGAAAAGACAAAAACATTTTCAGCATACTACTAGATTTTTATGATTATTGGAAAAGGAAGACAATGTTAAATTGAGAACATCTGCTCTAGAAATTTCTACTTGGGATTAATGAACAGTGTCAGTCACTTTAAAAAGTGTATGGGCTGAGACATTTAAAATACTCAATACATGTATGTTCAAGGAGGGATGTAAAAATACAGAAGATGCATCAGGCTATTCTCATAAACTCAGTGTTATTACTTTGCTGGGTTTTGAGAGGCGACTGAGGAGGGAATGGGAGAAGTTATGGTCTAGAAATGCTAGAGAAGGTTTTGAGGAAAAAAGATCCATGGATATGGGAAGTAGAATGAAAGAAGCATTTGGGAGAGGTGGAGATTTAAAATCTGGGCAATCTAAAAACTCGTAACACCCTCAGAGATAGCACTTTAAGATGACGAAGTTTAGTATATGTTTGTATAGAATAAATTAATAGCTTTATAATTATGTGCAAGCATACATGTGTATATGACTCACATGCCTGTGTGATTATGTAAACTCGATGTATTCTTTTAATCTAAAGCCAAGCATACATGAAGTTTTAACAGTTGCGAGAATATGCCTTTAAAGGCATTTAAGACAATGCTTCCCAGCCGCTTGGTATTTGATTCTTGTAACAACTATTTATGCAAGGATTATGTGGTCTTTGTGAATTTTTTTAAAAGGAAAATGTGGTAAACTCACGTAACCCAGGCTACCTTGAATTCAAGGTAATCCTCCTGCCTCAGCTTCCTGAGTCCTAGGATTACAGGCGTGCACCATCACACCAGGCTACAATCACCTTAAAAACAGATCTCATCTTTAGAGCAGTTGTTGGCACACAGCTAAATCGAGTAGAAAGTACAGGACTCCCATCTACCTCCTGCAACCATGCCTGCCTAGCTAGCCTCCTGCACTGCCAACACGCTGCACCAGCATGGTACGTTTGTTACAGTGGCTGAATCCACAGGGAAACGTCATTCTCATCTCAGATCCATAGTTACATTAGGGGGCCCTCTTGTCCATTTCATGGTTTTGGACAAATACATGGTGATGGTAATTCCTAGTATTATACAGCATAGTTTTGCTGCCCTATAAGCCTTTGTGCTGTGTCTATTCCTACCTACTGTAGAATACTGTATAGCTGGAATTGCCCAGTAGATAGCTTTTCAAGATTGGCTTCTCTTACTTTGGAATGTCCATTTAAGATTCAAGTTTTCATGGCTTGATAGATCATTCCTTTTTAGCCCTGAATAATACTTGACTGTTATTTATCCATCACCTATCAAAGGATATCCTAGTTGCTTCCAAGTTTTGACAAATTTAAAGCTGCTATAAACATCTGTGTGCAGATTTTTGTGTGAACAAACATATGTTTTCAACTCCTTTGGGTAAATCTCCAAGAAGTGTGATGAGTGTGGTTGGTTTTGAAAAAATAAAAAATAAAAATAAAACCACTTTTACTGAGAATTTAGGGCCCTTCCAGAGAGAATCTAGTTGCCATGAGACTGGAGTTGGAAATTAGTGATGAAGGAAGAGGCGCTGCAGGTGCCCACAAGGCAGTCCTGGATCTGGAGAAGCGCGGGGCCACTGTGTATGAAACGTGTTCTTGTGCAGACAGTTGGAGCTGAGCTGTGCTTGTGATCAGAAATTATATTCTTGTCGTTATAAAGCAGCAGATCATGGGCCAAATGAACTTCAGTTGATTTTTGAGCTGATACACTTTTAAGTAATGAAATCCTAGGGTATATGCAGGAATAAACCATGCTTAAACCCAATCTTTGTTCGAACTAAAAATTGGAGGGGATCACACGTGGGGACTTTTTGGACCCAGTAGCAAATAAAGAACTACTTGATTACAAAGACTCCAGGAAAGAAATTCCCCTCTGCCATCTTGCTTCATGAGTTTTTGGAAATTCTCATTAATCAGCCCCCCACAGAAAAGACAAGCAAAGAAAAGTTACTTCATAGCACTTAGTCAAAGTGCATTTTGTGAAGTAACTTTTTTCCCCCAAAATCCTTGAAACAACTGACCTTTTGGGCCAGGAGAAATAAAATAGGCACCTGATTTAATTTGTAGAACAGTGCACTACCACTAAAGATTCAAACATTTGAATCTTGTGTATTGGGTATTTATTGGATGATGGTTCAGTGAACACACTGTCTATGAGTACTTCTACAGCATGCCAGAAAGGTATGAAATGGTTTATGGAAAGCCTCAAAGCTACCATTTAACCCAGCAAGGTGGTTGAGACAGAGTCTGAACTTTGATTCTCTGAGAAAACTGGCTCAGAAGTTCGCCCATAATTTTGAAGCTTCTTGTCTGGTGCTTAACGATCTGGGGTGAAAATCTCAGACTCCTGTCTCTTACTATGGTCTCTATGTCAGCCGGTTGAGACTGGAATTCCTACTCCACTAATGCCTGTGCCACCTTGGCAGTCTTATTCAGCCTCTCAAACTTGTTCCTACATCCTACAAGCATTAGAAGGATTAGATGAGAGAATGCAGTAATACTGTTTGCTACAAAGTCTTCACTGAATAACATTCTTTCTAAAGCTACCAACAAGTTCTTTAAAGAATCAACTATAGCCCCTGTGAAAGGTCAAGGCCTGTGGTGGAAATGCCTGTTCTTCCTTTGAGACCAGCAAGTCGACTGGGGCAACTGCTCTGGACAACTTCTCAGGATGGGAAGATGACGATCAGCTTCAGTCTTTCCCCATCCTGTTTCTCCTTGAATGCAGGGACAATTTCCACTCCTTTTACAGTGTAGACGTGAGAAGGCATGTGGGGAAGCAGCTCATTTATCACTTTCCAAAGAGCTTCACCACCAGCTTCCCCTGCCAGCTGTTCTTGGCTCTCTGCTGTCTTGAATCCTGGCTGTTCTTGGCTCTCTGCTGCAGGCTTATTGGAGGGAAGGGCTGGGCTCAGGTGGTTTCAGGGATGAAAAGCAAGTGAGCTTGAGCTGAAGGAAGTTAGAGGGACTGCAACACAGAACTCGGTCTGCAGAGCAGTCTGGAGGCAGCAGGAACCATAGCCAGTGTGCACGCTTTTATGTCCCAGGGCCTGGTGCAGCCCGACTTGGCTTCATGTTTGTTGAGAACAGCAGCTACCATGAAGCAGTGCCCTATGTGCCTTTCACATCACCTCAAGGGCTGCTCACAGAGAGCCAGGAAGTAGCTCGTGTTCTTCCCTTTGAATAAACAGAAACAGGCACAGAGAGACAAAATTATTTGTCCATCGTCAAACAAAGTGGCACTGGCAGATTCAAAGTGAGACATCTTACTCAGAATCCTGCCCGTGGCCTTCACCTGGCCATTATCCTTGAATGCCTCTCTTCTAGAAGTAAATCCTTTTGGTTTTGTTTTTTGGTTTTTGTTTTGTTGGTTTGGTTTTGTTTTTGGTTCTGGGAATCCAACTCAGGACCATGCACTTGCCAGGCAGTTGCTGTGCCACTGAGCTGTATCCCCAGCCCTGTTTTGTTTGTTTGAGACAGTCTTGCTATGTAGTTCAGGCTGATCCTGAACTCACTACGTAGCCCAGGCTGGCCTTGAACTCACAGCAATCCTCCTGCCTCAGCCTCCTGAGTGCTGGGATTGGAGGTGTGCACCACCAGGCCCAGCCTTGTTCTGTTCTGTTTTTGCCTTGCTATAGATTGAGCTCAGGGCCTTGAACATGATAGACAAAAGTTCTACCACTGAATTACACCCTACCCCAGTCCTGAATTCTAAATTTTAAAAATGGTGCTGGGGAAGGAGCCCAGGGCCTTGGGCACGCTAGGCAGATGCTTGACCATTGAGCTACAACCCCAGCCCTGGAAGTGAATCATGGTATCAAGAGGCCCTAGGGCCCATGCATGTTTGTCCCAGCGAATTCCTCTGGGATTCAGTCTTCTCTCCTGCAAAGCGGGGATATTAATAAAGACATGGTTGCAAGGGGCAGGGTTGTTGGAAAGGGGTGGGTGCCAAGTACAAAGCCTGGCATGGCTCTTCCAACTCCTTTAACTCTCTCCCCCAAATCCTAGAAGCAGCTGGGACCCACATGGGTGCTGGGAGATGCCCATTCCCACCTCTGCTCCAAGCAGAGTGGACCTTCCCACCCCACCGCAGCATCTGTGGGGAATACTGGAAATTCATCCTGCGGGGCCAGCGCGGGGTGAAGGTCGTGTCCCCAGCCCGCAGCACCCGCGGCCGCTCGCACCATATTTAGTCAGGGGGAGCGGGCAGCCCCGGGCTGGTATGTGGCGCTGGGAATTCCTGTAGGAAGGAGCCCGCGCCTGGCCTTTTTGGGTTGTCTCCCACCCAGCGCCTGCGGAGGGAGGACCGGCCCGGCCCGGCCCAGCCCGACCCGGGAACCTCGGAGCCGGTCGGCACTGGGAGTGGGGAGCGGGCGTCCCCGGCCTGGAGCGGGGCCAGCCCACTGCCTCGACTGCCTTTTATGGCCTGTACGTGGGTGCGTGTGACAGGCAGGAGAGGGACAGGGAGAGACGGACAGCCAGAGAGAGACAGAGACAGTGGCCAGAGGTAGTGAGACACTGAGACCAAAGACAGACTGACAGCTGCGGAAAGCAGAGGCAGGAATGGACTGAGGGACAGACAGACGGAGGGACAGACAGAGGGAGCCGGGCGAAAGGGTGATGGAGAGTGTCCCACAGAGGGAAGGGACACCGCCCACACAGCGCACAGGATGCGCTCGGAGGCGGAGGGCGGGGGAGACCGTGGCCTCTCCTGCACCTACAGG